ATTGATACCAAACCTCGAAAATTTTTTTTTAACTAATCAATTTAAATAAAAATAACAATAGTAAATGAATTCAATTAGACCAAAAATGTGAGGCGAACATAGATGCACATAAATTTTTTGCCAATATTTTAACGAAAGAGGAAAGGTCTGCAAAACAAATAATTTCTCCCGATAGAACAATCGCATAAAATCATTGTCTTAACTATATTCGGTCGGATTAATAATCTATACTTTGATATCATATGTAACGATAAAATTAATTTGAAATATAATAACCTTCCTTTAATACTATTATTATCTATTTCATACGTTTGAAAGTTACAAAAAATTTATTGATAGGGTATATAATTACCTTACAATATAAAACATTATGATGTTATTAATATCTTTATCATGAAGAAAAAATGTGATAAGTTCTTGTATGTACAGTACTCCTCGCGATGCTTTTCGCGGTGAGAAAAGGACAGAGTAGCAATATTGATTTATTTACCAAAAAAATGACAAGACGAGTTTATACTTAAAATAGGTAATCAACTTTCGAATATACAGATATTTTTTATATAATTTTGCATAATTCAAAGATCCTAAATAACATTATTAGACATTACTTTTTGAAGTTCTTATTAGAAAGGGATTATCTTATAGTATCATCCACTACTTAATTATTAAAATTATTAAGGAAGAATCAATGAATTCTATATTTGCATTGCATAAGTCAGCAAATTATGAAACAAGATCTTTTGAACGATATCCTAAATGATAATGTGGGAATTAAATATCTAGTCTTTAATTTTACACGTGTAAAAAAGAAATCATTTACACTGTTTACTATATATATATGACAATAATGGTCATGCCGATTACTCATCGAATGATCACGCGAATTTCTTATGACATTATAAAAATATTTAAAAGTCCCCTTCAGAACATTCTTTGATTTGTAAAATGAAATACGGATACTTGATTCGTAAGCTTTTATAAAACGTATAAATAAATAGATAAATAAGTATATATATATGTGTATAAAATTATATCTCTGAAATAATCTTGTTTTTTTTTTGTGCGTTTTTAGAAGAAAATCCACAAGTAACACGTCTTATAAAACCACAAATATTTCTTCAAGTAGCATTATCACCTATACAAACTTCATGTTTCATAATTATAGGTAACCGAGATGAAATATTAAAATTTCTTGAAACACATTCTAAAGTTCCAATCATTATTACCACCACTACCACTACTGATAAAAATATTTCTCAAGTGGGAATTGAAATTTCTATTTCACCTTATAATAAAAAACCTATTGGACCTACAGCATTAGGCACAAGTACATCATTTAATTGGATAAAAGTTTTACTCCCTAATACTAAATGGTGCTTAGAAATTAGATATGATGAATCAACTTTACAATTTCCAAGAGAATATGATAATTATGAGAATGACCAATTTGAAGAAGAAATAATAAATGGTGACGAGAAAAGTGATGAAATGATGATTGTAAAAGAAGATTATGATGGCAATAATAATAATAATAATCTAACTGAAAATATGGAAAATCTGAAAAGTAAAGGGAAATGGATAAAGTGGGCGGAAAATGTAAAGATTTGGTATTTTAATTTAGGAATTACATTAGGAGAAGTTAAAGAAGTCATAGAAAAGGAAAGTTGGTTTTGGTGATAATTTACAACATTACAATCGTAAAGTGGAGATCTGTTTACTTTTTAAAGCCTTGATTTTACCAAGAAATTTTTGTATTACATAAATTTGAAAATGTAATTAACAAACAAAGAACTTTTAATTTTTAATATTTCATGATTAATAAAGTTTTTTTGAAAATTACTTTAATCCTTAAAATGGAAATGAAACCGAAACATGTCACTTAAATTTTTTTTCTGGGTTATGTATGTTAATTAATCAATAATAATGATACAACAGAATTTATTTGGAATTTTATGGTTGTTCAAACAATAAACATTTTGAATTCTTTGAATTGTTTCAATGACCTTTAATTAAAAAAATTCTTTTTTTTTTTTAGCAAAAAAATCAAGTTTTCATAAATTTAAAATTTTATCGATTTCTTTTTTATTCATTATAAAAAATGTCTGGACCTTTGCCACCAGGTTGGATTGAACAGGTTAGATTTATATCAATACTATACTATCTATATTTAAGTTATATTTTTTTATGTGCGATATGAAAACCGAAGTAATTTTTCTCGCAAAAAAAAAAAAATTTTTTATTCATTTCTTTATATATATTTTTTAATAGTATGATCAAACACATCAAAGACCATATTGTAAGTTATTAAATATTAAATAATATTTAGACATGAAATTTTTTTCATTAATTTATTAATTTATATAATCTAAAATAGACTTAAATACTCTCAACAAGACTACGACTTGGGTAAGTGAAATGATTCTAAAAAAAATCATCGCTAAAATTCTAAAAATTCTAAAATTATTTAATTTCTTGATTATTTATTTGAATTATAAAGCATGATCCACGTCAAGCGCCTCAATCATCTCAATCATCTCAATCATCTCAATCAAGAGATGTCAACCAGACGTCATCTCAACAAAGTGAAAAAAGTAGTGTCAACTTTCCTGACCCTAGTCATTATCAAGATACAAATTCTTCACCTCTTCCCAGCTATCAACAATCTCAGCAGCAACAACAATCTGCGGAGCAGAAAGTGCAACGATATAATAGTACAGATAATATTTACCCTGCTTCAACCGTCAATTCATCACAACCACATAACACATACCCTCAACAAAATTCATACCCTCAACAAAATTCATACCCTCAACAAAATTCATACCCTCAACAAAATTCATACCCTCAACAAAATTCATATCCTCAACAAAATTCATATCCTCAACAAAATGCATATCCTCAACAAAATGCATATCCTCAACAAAATGCATATCCTCAAGAAAAATATTCCCAACAAAATACATATCAGCAACAACCACAATATTCATATCAGCAACAACCCACAACAACTATTGTCCAAGAAGCTCCCCAACCCACAACAACTGTTATCCAAGAAGCTCCTCAACCCACAACAACTATTATCCAAGAAGCTCCTCAACCCACAACAACTATTATCCAAGAAGCTCCTCAACCCACAACAACAATTGTCCATCAGGCTCCTCAACCTGCGGCGACAATTGTTCATCAGGCTCCTCAACCCGCAACGACAATCGTCCATCAAGCTCCTCAACCCGCAACAACTATTGTCCATCAGGCTCAACCTACATACATCCATCATCAACCTTATGTTCAAGATCCTATATCTAAATTTTTTAGTGATGGTAAGTTTTCACATTAGAGATAATCATTTTTCTTTAATAAATCTTTGAACTAATGTATCTTGTTATATATATATATTTTTAAACAGCTGGAAAAGCGATGTCTGATGTCACAAGATCAATTACAACTCCACAGTATTATCCACAATATGGTCAAACAATTGTAACCCAAACTCAACCCGCAACTCAAATTGTTACCACTCATTCTCAACCCGCAACTCAAATTGTTACCACTCATTCTCAACCCGCAACTCAAATTGTTACCACTCATTCTCAACCTACAACTCAAATTGTTCACAGATATTAACTCAATTTATGACTCAGCAGAATCAGGTTTTTGAGAAGAGTTTCGTGGAGAATTCTAATGTCTAAAAAAAAATAATAATTTATACATACTTATCATTCGGGGGTATCTTTCCTTTAAATTTATATAATAATTATTATTTTTAAATTCAAGAACAATTAAAGGTAAAATAGAATTATCTTTCTTTCTTAATAATATTACGTTTTGAATTTGACGAGAGGTAAATATGAAGGTCTAGAATAGCTGATAGTAATATTAATTAATTAAATTTCGATTTATATTTATAGTTTAAACGTTATATTTTTTAGTGAATAACATACTCAATATTCTTTATTTGATATATATAGTAGATAATATAAATAATTTTCATTGACATAAGAATTTCAATAAGCTTGCTATTTTATTTTCTTATGGTCTTCTTTACGATCTTCACCTTCATCTTTCATCTTCTTCACTTCATCTTCATTATCATTCTTAATTATTATTTTCGTTC